AAAACCATTATACCCTGATTTCCCATTTTCAATGGGTTCAGGGTATAAAAACCAAGAGTAGAGCATGCAAAATGAAATTACATTCTTAAACAGAAGCGTATATAATATTTTGCAAATTTTATATATCTAAGGAGATACTAAATAAAAATTCTTTTGTTTTTATTTGTTGCCAGGAATTGGTGGCCATATCGCCGGAGCGTCGCAATTGGCGCGGCATCTTCATAGCTCTGCTGGTAATTGCCGCCGTGTTCAGCTTGATTATCTTCTCGATATTTCTGCTATCGCCGGAGGATGAGGGCCTGCGCATCCGTGGACGCCGCATGCTGCCCAGCGATATTCTGAGCAAGAGCCTGCAGTGGAAGCCCTTCAATGGCACCTGGAGCAATGGTGGGTGGCGAATCGACGACCTTTCGAATGGGGAACCTCAGCTCATTGAGCTCTCATTTCTCATTTCAGATCACGAACTCATATATCGCGATCCGACAGGCGGCCTATCCATACTCAATATGACGGACTATACCACGCGCATTCTGATGACCAATTCCACATTTGTGAGTATCTCTCTTCCGATATCTCTCGCTACCTCTCTATAGCACTCTCTCTCTCTCTCAGCGTCAATTGAATGCGGAATCGTTTTTGGTTGCACCGGATCAAAAGTACGTACTGCTACAATCGGACAGCAATGCTGAGGGCTCCAGGTAAGCTTCACATATACAGACCCTCTAAGGGACCCACCTCGCCTAATCCAATTGCCTTTTATCAGACATCACGTGTACGAGGTGCAAACCGCCAACACATTTCCCCTGGGACCAACGGAGAATATTGCCGAGGCGCCGCGCCTGCAGCACGTGGTCTGGGCGCCCATCAATCCACCACCACCACCACCGCCACCGCCGCCGCCAACAGCAGCCGCTGGCACACAGTCGCCTTTGCCCAGCGGCAGCATCATTCTGAACAGCCTCGCAGGCGCCGCAGCTGGCGGCGCTGGCAAGCCGACGGCCACCAGCAACGGCGGCTCGGCCAATGGCCAAGGTGCGAGCACTGGCAATGGCAATGGCAATGGCCAAGGCGCCAAGCCGGCCTATACACTCAACCAGGCCATCGCCTTTGTGCACCAGAACGACATCTACTACAAGCCCAAGGTGCAGGGCGAGCTCGTCTGCCGCATCACGCAGACGGGCGCGGCGGGCATCTTCTACAACGGCGTGCCGGACTGGACGTACGAGAATGTGCCGGAGCTGGAGAGTCGACGGAGCAGCATTGCCTTCTCGCCGGACGGCATGTTTCTCGCATTCTTCAGCTTCAACGACAGCGAGGTCAACGAGTATAAGTGAGTAGATCGTTGGGTGATTGATGGTAGCTTGGGTGGATAAACTGTATAAGAGTGGAGTTAGTTGAGCAGGAGGGGCTTAGGCAGTGAGCAGAAGCTTAAAGGTTAAGTAAGTGAATTTGGGAGGAGTAAAGGATTATGAATATAAATATACAGTATAAGAGTATAAGACTACAAGCTAAATGTGAAGAAAGCTAGTAAATATATTTAATAAGTAAATAACCTCCAAGTATAAGGGATTATGATTATGAGTATATAGCTGTATAATAGTATAAGAGTACAAGCCTAATGAGAAGGAAGCGCTTAGGCGATGAGTAGAAGTTAAGTAAGTGAATCTACATAGAAGCTTAGAGCGAGTATAAGAGATAGGTATAAGGGAGTAGCTCGATGGTGTATGATTGTGAGTATAAGTAAACAGTATAAGAGAGAAGAGTACAAGCCAAATGAGCAGGAGTATAAGTTAAGCAAGTGAATCTGTATAAGAACTAAGAGTGAGTGAATATAAGTAAATATATATATTAAGTAAGTGAATCTGTATAAGAGCGTAGAGTGAGTGTGAATAACTCATGAGAGGAGTAAAGTAACCTCCAAGTATAAGGGATTAAGATTGTGAGTATGAGTAAGCTTTATAATAGTATAAGAGTACAAACTGAATGAGAAGGAAGCACTTAGGTAATAAGTATAAGTTAAGTAAGTGAGAGTAAAGTTATCAGTGAGTATATAAATGGCTATTTCAGTGGGAGGCTGCGAGTATAAGACAAATGGTAATCTGTATAAGAGCTTAGAATTAGATAAGTGAGTCATGTGAGGAGCAAAGTAACCAGTGAGTCTAGGGAACCAGCTCGATTGATAATGATTGTGAGTATAAGAATAGTGATTAGTTGTATAAGAGTGAAGTAAGGTGTGTGTAATAGTAAGAACTAACAGAGTCAATATAGTATAATAGAAGAGTAGCTTATGCAATGAGTATAAGTTAAGTAAGTATGAGTAGAGTTGCCAATGAGTATAAGTGACTATCGAAGTAGGTAGCTGCGAGTATCAGTCAAATGGGAATCTGTTTAAGAGCTTACAATTAGGGAAGTGAGTAATAAAACTATCAGTGAGTATACGAAATTAGTTGAGCTGTGTAAATAGAAGACTCTGATTCGTTGGGTATTTAAGTTAAGTGCTAATGCCTTAATGAGAGATTGTAAAGTTAAGTGACTAATATAAGTACAATGACCAATTGTATACGTATATATGTATGAACAGCCAATGAGTGTTAAAGTGGATTTCGTTGAGCTTAAGTAAGTATGAGTTGAATCGAAAACATGAGTTGTTCAGTGAGCTATAGATCTTAGCCAATATAGGGAAGCATATGTAAAAATGAGAAATAGTTTATGTATACTAGAGCGTATTATGTGTAATGCAAGGAGTATAAGTAAATTTATGTGGGAATATCAAAGAAAAAGAAACTGGGGTCTAGGCATGTATATTATCCTCTCCCTCTCCCTCTTCCTTTCGCTCTCCCTCTCCCTCTTTCTCTCACTCTCACTCTCACTCTCACTCTCACTCTCACTCTCACTCTCACTCTCA